ATTTTATGCGATGACTTTTTGTCAAATAACATGTTTCACATTGAAGTAAAGCACAATTAACACCCTTAAACAAATTTGGAAATAAATGTTTTAAATAAGAAAAACTCGGATAGCCTAGTCTAAGATGCGATTCCATTATTTTCTCTAATGCAGGGTTCGACCTCATAATGTTGTAAGCTCCAACCTTATTTTTACCAGGAACAGTCTCCTCAAAATAATAAAGTTCTCCTATCTTTTTAGCTCTCCCAATCATCATTCCCGACTTCTGGTCCTGAAAAACACAAGAGGATTCACAGAAAATTATCCTATGAAAGTTTGCTGACAGATAAAAGATTACATTTGAGTTTTGGAATATGGAGTACAGATTTAAGACCTATACTCTTGGACAGGTTAATGTTTCATTTTCCAGTAATTGAAGAGAAACTACCGTCAGCAAGACGAACATTTTCATGGCCAGAATATGAGATGTATGAATGAAATAGATAGTGTAAATTTTTCATATGATCAGAAGCTCATGAATCAATAATCCAAGGGTTTAGTTGTCTACCTGCGCGTACTATTGAACAAGTTGGGGTACCAGTAGCCAAACTGGGGTTTAGCAGTTTCAGGAGTTGATCGATTTGCTCTTTGTTAAATGGGTTGGTTTGTTCGGCAACAGCATTAGCATTAGGTGGATTGTGCTTGTTTCTTGGCTTCCAATCTGCAGGTTTACCGTGGAGGTACCAGCAGGTTTCTTTAGTGTGTCGTGACTTGCTGCAATGATCACACCATACTCATGGTTTCTCCTCATTCTTCTGTGGATATGGAACAGTCCACTTGTTGATATGAGCCTCCGATTGGAATGTCGAAGTCTCGGGTATGCTGGTAGGAATGGATTTCTTGTTGAGCATCACTCCTCTTCGAGTTTCTTCGCGGCGAACTTCTGAGAAAGCCTCATGGATTGAAGGCATGGGACTTCTTCAAATAATTCTGCCCCTAACGTCATCAAACTCCTCATTAAGTCCAACAAGGAATTTAAAAATTCTATTTGCATCAACAATGTTCTTATACCTACTAGCATCATCAGGACACTTCCACTCTTGATCATTGAACAGGTCAAGATCTTGTCATATTCTTTTTAAAGAATTAAAGTATTTTGTGACAGAGTCATTACCTTGACGAATGTCACCAAGTTTCAGGGAAAGTTCATAAACTTGAGATTGGTTACCCGTGTCCGAATACATTTGGGCCACATTCTCCCATAGTTCTTTGACAGTGGAGTAACTCATATAGTTTGCGCCTGTTAGGTAGTTTATCTTCCCTCTTCCTCTAATGTACATCTTCACCGATTGTGACCAGCGTAGATAATTATCACCATTGAGACGGATTGTTGTCACCAAGTTTCAGGGAAAGCTCATAAACTTGCGATTGGATACCCGTATCCGAATACATTTGGGCCACATTCTCCCATAGTTCTTTGACAGTGGAGTAACTCATATAGTTTGCGCCTGTTAGGTAGTTTATCTTCCCTCTTCCTCTAATGTACATCTTCACCGATTGTGACCAGCGTAGATAATTATCACCATTGAGACGGATTGTGGTGATCTGGGCCGAGTGATTTTCGGTGGTTCTAGAGGAGGGTGGTGTTGATGACAGAGTGGAATGCTGGATAGAGGCGGCAGAATCATTTATATTTTCAGACATGATAAAAAAAAGAGATGGTTCAGCTTTGCAAGTGGCGGAAGAAGTCCCTGCGGCTCAGGAAGTAGGAATCGGAGATAGGCCGAAGGTTCGACGGGATCGCGACTCGCGGTAGAAGGATCGCGGACTGCAGAAAGGATCGCGACTTGCGGTAGAAGGATCGCGGCTTGCGGGATCGATCGCGGCTTGCGAGGACGAAGACTAGGGTTTTTTTTTCTGAATTTTATCTCCCGCTCTATACCATAAAACCAGAAACTGAAGAGAAAATTTTATTTCTTCTTAATGATTCAATTCAAGGTGCATTTACATATAGGAGTCTCTCCTCCTTAGATAAGGAAACTAACTAAATAAATTCAAAGAAATTCATATTACATTCCAAGACTAATTAAACAAGATAAAAATAAGGAAGGAGAATAATATCTGTAGAAAAGGAAAAAACAATAAATATTGTAATTTGAATTTTGAATTTTGAATTAGATCTTTCAACAGAAGATTACAGACTTAAGGGCTCAAGAGTTATTTTATGAGAATCTAGAGTTATATGCAACTCCAACTCATGTTAAATAAAAGATGATGAATACTTATCCTATCGAGATGTGCATTAGAATGATAATGCCTATAAAAGTGACTTACTGGGAAGTTACAGTAGCTCCACCACACTTAACATGGCCAACCTAACACTACACTAAGATGATCCAGAAGCATCGACAAACGAGGTTGAAACTCTCGCAACCCTAGAAAATAGACTTGGGAGGACCCGCGTACGGGGACACGCAATCCCGCGCTCGCGGGTATTGAGCACAGGTCCTGCAATCGAGACCGAACAAAACCAAATGTCCATTTTTTTTCTTTCCAATTTTTAGCAATTTTTCCTCATTTCCTTTCATTCCTTTCTAGTCATTTCCTATATATGTATTGTATTAGAGTTTATAGTGCAATTTTTTATGAGTTTGTTTGGAACAACCACCGGCGTCCATTTTCTCCCATTGAGGGTCGTATCAAAGAGTTTGGGTAGTGTTCTGACTATCTCTCTCAATGAGGTGGTTATCTTTCCTATGTCCTCCCACACCCTTCCCCGCGTCGCTCCTGATCGCCCTCCATTGCAGTAGCAGACCCCAAACAGTCGTCATTGTTATTTTCACTAGTCTTTTCAATTTCAATCACCTACACTCGTTAGTGCCGCCCTGGATGACCATCATGTTTCTTTCCTGAAATCCCCTGCATCCTCCGCCGCTGTCGTCGGCATACTCCTCACTAAAGCCACCAAGAACATAGTCTATTTGTTGTTCGCCTGCAGTTTCGACCGTCTAGTCACCAATTTCTCTCATTCCAATTTGTTGTCGTTGCCACAACTCCTCACATTCACTGTCTACGCACCACTGCAACTATAACAGCCACTTCCTCGCTATCCATAACCCTCTTTCTTGCTGCCCCCGCTTAGGACAGGAACTGCACTTGTCATTCCTTCAGCTTCGCACTCCCCCTCACTGTTAACAACACATATTTGTTGTTGTCATGCCTTCCAGCCCTTCTCCCACCAGTTGCTACCTCTCTAGAGGGCCAAATCCTCGCTGATCACCTCCACCACCCTGAGATCCACCCTGGTTTCAATGTGTGTCATGTTTGTGCTCTTTCAGATTTTAAGGTGCCTTGTTGTCGTATTTCAAATGTGTTGGTTGTACCTCCTATTTGTTTCAATAATAAAACTTATTTTCCAACAACTTTTGTGACAAACCTAATATCAAATGCAATTAGACGTTGCATCAACGTTTTGCAAGACTTTTATCCACAAAATTCTAGAGATCATGTAAATTGTTTTGATAATGAGAGATCTATAAAAATTGCAAAAAAGACAATAAATAAAACAAAAAGAGAAATAGTAAATATTTTGTAATAATTTACATCAAGAAAAATATAATAATGACTTTTAAGTTATAAAGAATGAATACGTTGCACATAAGACAAAACATGCAACAATTTTTTTTTCTTTTCTTTTTTTTTTATGTAGCAACTTGTTTATGTATTGCAATATCGATGATGATGAATAATCTGATTTTAAAGAGAAAATGAGGCTCCGTTTGGGGCAGCTTATCTGTTGCGACGGAATTTTGAAGACGTCGCCTCACCGTTTAGAACTGCGTTTGAGCAGCTTATCTGAAAACGCAATTTGTTTTTACACTAAACGCGGAGCGTGGGTCAAGCCCCGCAGTCCACGTTTCCAAATAAGCGGCTTATTAGGATAAGCACAAGCTTCCCCAAACGCTCCATGAATCTTAAAATTAACTGGCGGCACAACAAATAGAGTTAAGAAAGTCAGTTAGAAGATATACAACATACATCTGTACAAAATTTAGCATATTTTAGCAATCAAAGAACATGGTAAACTTGAGTCAGCAGACCAGTAACTCTTTTTCATAGAGACTGGTACCTTCTAACCAAGATTTTAAAAAAATGGGCATGGGTGATCTGGGCATGTACAGTAAAGAATAGAGAATGCAATATTAGATGGATAGATAAAATTAATATCAAATGAAATAAGAAAGAAATAGATCTAAAATAACGTAAATAAAAGTTGCTTAAACTAAATTTTGGCAAGCAACGCTCAGCAAAATGAGAATTAATAAAACTAACCCTAAAAAATTGGGAATAGGATGATGAAGATGATGATGATGATGGGCCTTATATAGTAAGAACTCTTAAATACTAGGAAAATTAATTAAAAGATACACAATTCAAGGTATGAGTAAGCTCAACTACTTCAACAGGTTGGATAACATTAAATAAAAGGTAAAAGAGAAAATTGATGATCATCATAGAAGAAAAAAATGCAAATGAGAATGAAATAGCATAACATAAAACTCCATTGTACTTCTCCTAATCAGAAACTAATCAGCGGTATAAGCTTAAAATTTTTAGGGAAAAATAAGTACAGGAATTCATATTGATTTTTCTTATGGATGAAAGCTGTTACATTTCACTAGAATAAAATGGTATATAAAACAATAATAAAGAATGGATTTGCCGAAAAAAAAGATCAAAGGCTAATTTTAAATTCATAATCCTCGGCTACTTGTGGAATATATAATACATTCCAGCCAAAAAACAAAATTTATTCAAAAACTTTTCATGTGTAGCCATGATGCCTACAACAGATTACCATATTTAGCATAAATGAAGATAAAATACAATGAAGTCATAAAACATGAGAGAGTGAAATTCTTGTTCCTGAAAAAAATCGATTAAATATTCCATTTGTAATGAAAAGTAACAATGTCTTAAGTATAGTATTGCAGATAAAACTGTAGCCAAAAGAACAGAACCTGGAGCACTTTTGCGCTTGAGCATGGCCTTGAACTTGCGCTTCTTCCTCAGAACAGACTGGAGGTTCTTCTTTGCGAACTTCCTAGCTTTCTTTCCGAGCTTCCCCATCTTTTGTGTCTCTTCCTAGAAAAGATCCTGAAAGTAAGAAATGTGTAATAACCAATAAAATCAGAGAAAATTTTCAGCAACTTAAATTGCACCCAATTTTCGCACCCCTCGGATTTCAATCTAAATAATTTTATAAAATTCTACACAAGAAATAGATCAATTCCATATAAAGCATTTTATAAAAATTATGAATTAATTGAAATATATTAAAATTATGAATTGATTGGCGTTGAATGTTGGCCTTTAAAAGAGAAGCTTAATACTAAGTGTTGCTTAGATGAGAATGATTAGGTGAATGAATGGCTTCACACTTAGAGACAAAATACGAAATGAATATATCAATGATCGGGTTGGTGTAGCTCCGGTGACTGACAAAATTAGAGGAGAGTTGTCTTAGATGGTTTTGTCAATTAAACGTAGATGTTTTAGATTCGACTTATGTTAAGAACGGCAGAGGTAGAAGTAAGAAGACTTGGGATATAAAAAATGATCTAAATTTATTAGATCTAAATGAAAATATGACACTAAATAGGACGCAATGGAAAAAAAGGATTCATATAGCCGACTCCACGCAGTGGGGTTAAGGCTTTGTTGTTGTTGTTGTTGTTGTTGTTGTTGTTGGAAGATATAAAAACTGGAAACTATAAAATGACTAAACCTAATTAACCCTTAATTAATTCATCCATAATCTCGTTTTACTTTAGCCAACCGACCTAACCAGCAATATTTGCATCAATTTGGGGGACTCCAGAGCCTTCAAAATTTTTTCTCCCCTTCTCGGTTTCGTTCGCTCAAAGCCACCTGTTTTCACTCCTTACCGTGAGCTCCGAATTTCTGTGCCCAGCTACTGTAGCACAGTTCGCAATCCAAGGTGCGAACAAAGCAGCCACGAGCACCTCATGAAGCCGCAGGCTTCGATTGAGGTCTCCTAGATAAAATTGATAAGTGTGAAATTGATTTTAGCAACATTTGAGACTTTCATTTCCCTCCTCACCATTCCAAATTAAAGTTTGCCTCATTTTTCGTATTTTTCTCGTTTTTGATAGTCGTCGAAGACGTCAATTGTGTGTCGGAAGTGTCGAACGTCTTTTGCGAGCTTCCAAAAGAATTCTAACACGATATCGGCGTAAAAGTGTGGTTGGAGGTGATAGAAAGTAAATTTGACAGCTTTGGATAAGGATTAGTTGTCGAGAAAAACGTTTAAGGTATGTTTTAGCAAATCATTTATATTTTTAATTAAATTACTTTTTCAACTAAAATATCTTTAAATCCTAAGTTAATTTCAGATACTAGGTTATTTATCTGAGACAGCAAACTTGAAGTGAGTGTGAAAATTTATTATAAAGCGACCCGGTAAATTTTAAATAAATTAATCATAAGTTAGGAAGATTAATTTGATTAACAAAAAATACATGAGTTTTACATCTTAATAATATGTTTTATAAGTTATTAATTTCAACGTAAAAGTCACTGCAACCTCCAGCTAACTGTCGAAGATTAAGAGTTCAGCGTGGCAAATGAGGTGAATAATTGCATTTTTTAATTTCAATAATATTCTTTATTTCAGATTGTATGTTTGACGTCATGTTTGTCGTAGTTTAATCAAATCTTTCATATTGATAGGGCAGATATGCATGATAAGCGTAATAGGAAAAGATGTGCATACATGAAAGATATGCATGACATGAATGTATTTAGATTGATATTATATGTAAAATAAACACATAAGACATGCATACAAAAAAGATATGCATGATATAAGTAAAAGACATATATGAGATAGATACAAGTAAGAGATATTCATGAGAAAGATATATGAATAATATGAAATATATGTCTGATAAATAGTTGTACAGTATAAAAAAATGCATGTTAGTAGATGCATAAAGATATCACAGAATAATGTATATATGAAGAATTAAATAGCTTATATGTGAATGCTTGTATATGTATGTTCGGAGGAAGATTTCAACCCCTAATGGTACAGATAGAGACGTCAGTGTACCTACGCGCATAGTTTTTCTACCACCCCAGACAATTGTGATTGTTAAATCATTATTTGTTGTGCCGACGGGATAATATTGACTAGCGGCAAGTAGACCAGCGCTCACCTCCCTAGACAATTGTAATGTTTACATTATTAACCACTCTGCCAACAAAATAAAATCGGTCAAGGACAAGTAAGGGTCTTCCCACCCAAGATAATTGCGATGTGTAAATTATTAACTGTTGTGTCGATAGGAGCTGATGGGGCACTATCGGCCAAGAATTTGTTAGGTTTGTTGACGATGATCCTCACAGAGATAGAAGTGTTAATTAAGTTTAAAATAAAAGCAAAGTTAAAGTAAATGCTTATGGGCTCTCATGTATTTTTCTGTTTTTTTTCTTTTTTTTTCTGGAACCATTTACATGTCTTTACCGTGTGGGTAGGAAGCCATGTTTGAGCACTCTCATACAATCTATCTGTATATTTATTTCTTTTTATATATATGATTTTTTATAAAATTATAAAAGACCGGCATATTATAGGATTTCTTATAGTTTAGCATGCATATTGTATTATTTTCATTGGATTACTATAATTTATAAGTGTGATTACTCTTGGATTATCTTATAACTCATTATGTTGCTTCAATATTTTTTTAGGTTTTCAATATTTGAACAAGATGAATAAAACAGGAGCAAATGTGTATAGAAGACAAAAATAACAAACGAAAATGAACAAATTTTCACTTGTTAATTTAAATTGTTATTTTAAAGGCTCTTTCATGTATTATTTAATATTAATACATGAATTCATACAGAGAATTGAATAACAGAGAATTGTCCGACCGTTGTTATTTAAATATTAAATTCATACATGAATTCATACAGAGAATTGAATAACCAATGTATTATTTAAATATTAAATTGTTAGTACTAGAATTAAAATAACAGAGAATTGATCTCCATTGTCCGACCGTCCGTTCCCATCTTAGTTAACTTCAAGCCCCGGGTTAGATTGTGACAAAATGATGGTGCAAAACAGTGAGAACTACAAAAAGGTTAAGGTCAATTGGTTACATAATTTTAAAGTGTTAAGAATATGCATGATATTCCATTTGTCCAAGGTTGTTTGGTTGTATGTAAGATAAAAGAGGGTAAAATTGCTTACTCAATTTAGTTGGATTAAAAAAAATAAAAAAAAAGTTTTTGTTGTTTTGTTGGATCTAAAGTTTAAGCTCCAAAAAAATGACTCGTAAAATATCCCCTATGGAGATCAACTAGTAGAGTTTGAATAATCACATAAAAGATCCAAATACCGAATCAATGAAAGGTTAACAGCACTTAAATAGATCTTATTCACAATGCTGACTGAAAATGAAATAAGAAAGATTACTAAATCCAAAGAAGACAAGAAAAAATGCTATTAAGTTTATGAAGTTAAGAATTTGAGTATTAAGTAAGAAAAATGAGACAGTTGATTTCTCATGCTCATATAACTGATTTCTCATTAAATTAAAAATATTTCATTTGAAATTTGTTATGAAATTTGTTATACAACAAAATCGATAGTCATAAATAAACTTGCAAATGTCGTTATATTATAATTCAGGATGCTTGATCGGAATTTGATCTCAGAATTAATTCCAAAGTATATAAATAAAAATGGTTGGTGTATTCATAGTCATCTATTCTTTGTTAAATTCCTCACTCAACATAGGCATCAAAACAAAAACTTCCTACATTTAGTCTTTGCCAAACATGCAAGTAATTGGAACTTCCTGGTGCATTGTGCAGCATTTTCAACATCATGAACCAACCCAACCAGCTAAGAAATGTCAATTAAAATTCATTGGCGCAAACACAATCTACATAGAAAGTGGCAATCTTCCATGCAATGCACCTGCATGCTCTTCAAGGATCTTAGTTGGCCTAGTTGTTCTATCTACAACTCCTACACAACTTATGTTAGACTAATATGCATAAGAGCTAAAAAAAACAACTTGAAGCGGGAGCTTGGGTTGCAGTACTGTAGCAAATATAGTATCGCAAATTTCTTTTTTATTTGCCTATTTGATTCCTTGCCCGCCTCCCTTTCCTACCGTAGCCTTTTCCTATTACATTACCTTTTATTTTTCTTTCCCTTTCCTTTCCTATGACCTTCTATTCCTATCTGCTAGCTTCTATTATATATGTGTTGTATGCTTGTTTAGAATTCAGACTTTGATTGTTTCTTATTTCAGATTGTGGCCTCTAAGGCGTTTTACCTTCAGAGGTTTGTATCCGAAGACAAAAAGGTGGTATGGCTATAACTCATCCGAGGTGGAGACCATTCCCCAAGAATCAAGTGGTACTCCTATTGTATTTCAATCCCGCGGGGATATTTATCCTTAGCCAACTGCTCCGCAACTTTTCCAGCCATTCCCCCTCGCTGTCGCAGTCCCAGAACAGCCCCCGGTCCACCACCCTTATTTATTTATTTATTTGATTATTATTATTATTATTATTATTATTATTATTATTATTATTATTATTATTATTATTATTATTATTATTATTATTATTATTATTATTATTATTATTATCATAAAAATATTACTCAATTCATGTGTATATTGCAAGAAAGCATACTTTTGATTTATTTATTATCCTATTTAATTGGTTTTAAATAGTAAAATAATAATTATATATTAATTCATTTAGATTGGTAAAATTATTTGTTTATTTGAGAAGTCAGATATATGGTCAAATTTTTAGCTAGTTTATAACCAAGTTCAAGCATTCATTTGATTAATTAAAGCAAACCAAGTACAATTATATAATAATTTAAATATTTTTATGCATATATGTATATACATACACAAATACACACGTGTGTATTTGTTTTTACACAAACACACATAAAATTTGTGTATGTGTATGGTGTGTGGCTCAAACTTGAACCGAACAAATTATAATATGACCAAATCAAGTCCAACAAACAAATGATATACTGCTTGGTCAAGTCCAAAAAATGATATACTTGGGATGGCTCATTTAAAACCCTATGCAAAGGAAACAAACCCTCTCCATACATACTTAAGCACATATATATCC